ATATATATATATAATATAATAAAAAGAAACAGAAAAGTACCACAAACACTGCAAATCACTGTAGAAGAAAGAAAAACGTCAACACAAACTGTCAGAAATGTGATAAAAGAAGACAACCAGCGAGCCGTAAACCTGCTGGAACAGAGAAACTGCTACTGGAGGACATCAAGCTGTTAAAACAAGTGACAAAAAACGACTAAAGTGACATAGTCCTTTAAATTAGTTTGTGTCTCTTTTATATTCAAGCTTTTTAAATAAAGATAAAATTTGACTGGACATCTTTAAAATGATTTGTTTTCAGATTGGACGATCTTTAATAGCCCAACAAAGTTTGCAGCTCACGCACACTGATCACAAACACTTCTGCGTGTCAGCGCCCTGCTCAAAAATGCTCATTTATAATAAAAAAATACAAACATATACATAAATAAACAAGGATGGGTGTGCGAACATGAACAATCGTGGACAGATGAATCCAAATCCTCCCTGTCAGAGTTCGATCAGGGAGAGACGCTGTGAGCCTGCTCGAGTGCTCAGGAGAAAATCAGAAACCTACCTTGGCTCAAACTGTTTCAGGTGAAGATCAAACTCACTGATGGACGATGGAAACGAAGAAAAAATCAGAAGGGTGACAAATGCACAAGACTTTTCCTCTGACAGAGCTGAAACCCCGACACTAAACCTCCTCCAGAGGACCAGCGAGAGGCTGTCAGACGGCGTGGAGACGAGGAACAGAAACACCACCTGATGATAACACCGAAATAACAACAGAGCTGACGGAGCAGCGCCGTCCTCTCCTCAGCACCTCCTCTCCCTCTGCCGCCCGCAGGGTGACGTTAACAACGAGGACACGAAATCAGCAAATCAGATCACGCGTAACAAATTCATTCAGAGCCAGGCTGTTTCCTGCAGCTCTCACGTTTCCTCTTTAACGGGGTCAGATTACTGAATCTGGAGTTTGGGGAGTCCACACCTCACGTCACCTCTGCTTCCTGCAAACTTCACTTCAGTTTGATTTACACAGGTCGACCCTACAATAATCCACACAGAGAGAAACCCAACAATCACATCTATATGAGCAGCACTTTGGTGACAGTGGGGAGAAAAAACTCTTTTTTAACAGGAAGAAACCTCCGTTTGTCAGACTGATCTATGGACCAAACTGCATTTTATTCACCCCGTTACCTCAGCCTCGTCTCCTTTACTCATACTTTCCATTAAAGTCACTTCAATCAGTCCTGGGAGGAGTTTCTCCTTGTACCACCGCTACAGTGAAAAGCTGTACTTCTCTCTCAGCTCCCTCACACAGACCTCCCCTCTGAGAGTTGAACCTGAGATCAGCTGTGTCCAAAAACAGCTGTTCAGCTCCGATTTAGTCAGATTTAAACAGGCGAGTTATGAAATCATCCACCGGCCGTACAGGTGGCGTGAAGGACCAATCGGTGCATCAGGCTGTAAGCATGGGAAGTTTAACATGGGAGTCTATGAGGACTGACTCACTGCTGCCTCCGCTGGATGTCAGAGGAACTGCAGGCTTTGGTCCTTCACTTGTGGTACAAAGTACCTTCTTCTCCTATTACTACAACATGACACTGCAAAACGTCACTGCAACCAGCCCTCAACCATCCAGCAACAACAGTACTGATCCTCACAAGTGCTGCTGTATACTATTACCACACCATTACACCCTATAAAACCACACATTACACCAGCTACAGCATCACCTACGTGTGCATCACATCACTCCATCACAGGCGTGACGATGACCTGCAGAAGCCCAGCTGAGTGAACCCGGTCTGCGGTGCTTCTCTGAGCTGGTACTCACCTCTGGTCCTGACACAGCAGCAGCAGGAGGAGAGAGTGCGCTCAGGAGGGAGAGCCGCGTCCGATAACTGCTCTAAATTTAACAGAAAACATGCCGCACTAAACATGGCTGCGTGGCTGCTTATCGTCCTTCTGCTGGCGGGCCATGGCCATACAAGGCTCTGCAGGGCCCGGGGCCATTCAGCAGCTCCTCGTCACCACCGACACGTGGAGATAACCGCTAACGGCTAACGGAGGCAGGAATGCTGGGACAAGTGCCTCGCAGCCACCCCCATCCCCAAACCCCCACACATGACATCTGCACAACCTTCACAGGGAGGCATCCAGAGAGCGACGCACTCGTCTCACACCTTAAACTCCTCACAGCAGACGAGCCTCGCACGATTACTGATTTTATTCTTAATATTACAGAGATTCTTTTTGTGTCTGAGGCTGACACCTGTGCAGGTTCACCTGCAGACAGAAACCCTCACTGCGGGGTTATGAGGACAGAGGACACTTCCTGTGTTTATCGTGACCATTTCCTGCAGCAACACGCTCGTGCTGCGGTTCAGTCTCAGCGATGAAGGTTTAGGAGAAACTCGTGCTCCTGGTGTCTGTGCAGACCAATCATGAGATCAACACGGGGTCAGCTGACCCTCCCACAACCACGTCTCATTTTCTGTTATTTTCCGCTGCATCAGTGACATCAGAGAGCAGAAACCAGCACTGGTGCATTGTGGGTAAACCTTCAGGTGTCTGCTCAGAGCAGGTGCTGTTTGAGGCTCATGATAGCTGGGATACTGATGATGGCTCTGACCTCTGCTGGGAGTTTTATGAGAGTCATGGACACGTTTCGTTTTTACCAGCACGTATCCCAGCTCACGCCAAAGGGCGCTCTGGACCAGCACTGTGTTATTTTTATCTGTCCTACACCAGTTCAGCCTGCTGTCCAACACCAGTAACTTTACCTGAGTTGACGAGCTTAGTGGTACCATCTCTGTTACCAGCAGATCAACAATGTCCCACAGTGCATCACCCCAGTGTGCTCATTGTCGTTTCCTGGCCTCTGGCGAAGTAGCTGCTTCAGAAATGGTGTCATCCACCCACTTTTGAAAAAGGAACATTTGGATCCTCTGATTGGCAGTTATAGACGCCACTTACTGCTAAGAGAAGCCTGAGACCTCACTGCGTCAGCTCTGAGAGTATGATGCAGAGTGACGGCGGTTACTGTTCTGTGTTGGATCTTCATCTTTTCATCATTCTGCTCAACAGGTGCTGGGTTGGTGTATCAGGATCTTCATACCTGTCTGACACCAACAAGCTCACCTGCTCAGGTGTCAGCAGGCTGGTGTAGTGTGGGTGTGGGGAGTGCGACAGCTGAGCCTGAGCCAGTACAACAACCAGCAACCAGGTGTCGTAGGCTCAGGAGACGTCTGCTGCAGCACAGGGGGAGGGGCCACAGCCCAACAACAGCGTGAGGAAGAGACGAGGACGGTGAAATTAAGGAAACAGATCACAGGTGTTGAAGTCCAGGCCTCGAGGGCCGCCGTCCTGCTGTTTTCCAACTAACCTGCCCCTGTAGCTTCTTACTGGCAAAGCACACCTGATGCAGGTAATCAGCAGCAGGTTGGGATATCTCAGAAACAAGCAGGATGCCGGCGCTCGAGGAGGTTTCACAGCCCTGAAATAGATGTAGGGACATGTAGGGAAGGAAGAGACTCAAAGACTCAAGTAAAATAAACGGCCACAGCTAACAGCTAACTGCTAACAGCTGCTGATTGTCACCAGTGATGGAATAACGCCGTTAATTCTTTCAGTAATGAGTAATCTAACTAATTACTATTCCTATGGTTACAACGCCGTCACCGTTACTAACAAGATGATGAGGTCGCGTTACTGTTTTCCAACAGACGGTTGAAGCTGTCTTCAGCTTATCACACCTTACATCAGTTGCACAGAGTAATCTGGGTGCTGCAGCTTTAAGCAGCTGCGTTCCCGTGGACGGTGATCACTTTCTGCCCGACGATCAGTGTCTGGCACAACAGCTGGAGCTCAGGGGGCAAAACAATCATAGGATTTTTAAAATTGACAATTTATAATTTAAAGTTATGATTCAGTGAACATGTTTGTGGTTGTTACAGTAAAAAACCTTTTCTACTCAAATTTGATGTTTGTTGTCTGATTTTAGATCAGTTGTGTTAATACAGTTTGTCACAATGAAAACACGACTGTAGATTCAGACACGTGAGGCTGATGAGACCAAACAAGACAAATAAACAGTTTTAAAGGTGAAATAGAGGAAACATCAGAAGTGGTTAAAAATGGCCCCCAGAGGGTGAAACGTTTTTTTAAAGTAACGCAATAGTTACTTTTCAAGTAATTAATTACTTTTAGAATCTTGTAACTCAGTTACTTTTTTAAAGAAGTAACTATAATTAATTACTTTTTCAAAGTAACTTGGCCAACACGGATTGTCACTGCAGTGAAACCCAAGCACAACTTTCAGTTTTCAATATCAATAATAAAATAAATATTCAACAAAGTGAGGGGATATTTATTTTTTATTATTGATATGATCCAGCTGAATGCTCGGTTTCACTATTTTCTACCCTTTGATCTGTATGAGGTCATGCAGAGGGAGGGTCTTTGTACATCTCACATGCTGAAGCCCCGCCCACTTGCTGACAGGCCTGTTTCTGTGGTCAGCCAGTCAGAAGAAATTTGGCCAAAGTGGAAGGTAGTTTCAAAGGGGGAGGAGCTAAAAGAGCACGTTTATGACATTCATGAAGCGAGGGGCCGAGGACGAGAGAAAGCCGGATTATGTTGTCCTGACCTCAGATTCCCCAGCATGAAGCAGAGCACCTGTAACGTCTTCCACACAGTTTTTATCGATTTAATAACAAATAGCAGGCGACAGACGCTGAGGCCCAGCACGACTGAGGAGGCCGAGTTTATCTGCCGTCTGATTATCACAGCTAACATTCCTCTGGCCTTTAAGTGTGTGTGTGTGTGTGTGTGTGTGTGTGTGTGTGTGTGTGTGTGTCACATTCTCACAGTGCACAAACACTCCACCTGTATCTCACAACCTCCAGCCTCTCTCTTTAAAGGCCACACAGACTGAGGTTGATGCATAAAGGTTTGGTCACAGGTGTCAGGAACTACTGGACCCAGTCAGGAGGAGGAGGAGGAGGAGGAAGGGGCAGGGAGCTTTGAAAGAGAGACCAGACACATTTTCTTTTTGTGCTGTTTTTCCACACTGTGCCGGAGGTCCATGACTCGGCTGCAGGGAGGAGCGGCGCAGTGAGCTCAACGGGGCGGTGCTCAACGGGGCGGTGCTGGGGAGGCAGGTGAGAGCACAGCTGGTGGCGTTTGGTCTGATGAGTCTTTCCCCTTTGTTAGTGAGACGGGAGACGAGAGGAGGGAAGCCTGAGACAGCTGAGACTGGAGCTGACCAGACTGAACCGTCACAAAAAGCAAAGTCAGAAATAAACGCGACATCTCGCTCTATCGAACTGTGTGAAGTTCATTTTATACACACGTCGCTAAAAGTTGAGCTGTTTCCTGTCGGTGCCGCTGCAGGTTCACTGTGCTCCATTTAAACTGCATTTCTGTGCAGTTTACATGACGTGGGCTCAGTGTGACCTTCAGACAGCCTGCAGAGTCAAACTCAGACTCGCTCGGCCTGGTTACTGGTGCTCAGCAGCTGGAGGCGCCTCAGCCCGTCCTCTGTGTTCTTGCCGTTTTCCCTTTAAATCTGTCACATTCAGATCCTAACAATTTAATGACAACAGCCCCGAGTTCATTGAAGCGCTGCAGGTTCAAACAAGGATGCGTGTATTTTCCTCCAATAAATAAATAAATCTAGTTTTCTATCTAGCATAGCTACCCAGTGACAGCTTTATAAACAGAACCATCTTTCATTGGTTTTAAACTGTAGGACCAACTTTCACATTGCAGGAACTGTTTGAGGGACAAAGCTGATCACCTCCCACAGTGTTAGAAGACGTACAGAAGAGCTCTGATGGCAAACTTCAACAGTTTTAGTCAGTCAGCAATTTCACCTCCTAAAAACAATGGTGTTTGATTCAAGTGCGGGTGATGGGCGTGGCTTTAGTCTGCTGACTCCACCCACCTCAAAGATCAGTACAAACGTCACCACCCGACAGATGTAAGCTTCCTGAGTGGTGTGTGGTTAAAAGCATCATCACAAACGAGCCTGTCCTGACCTTTCAGTCTAACCTCTGCTACAAAGAAGCTTTGGGATGTAATGAGGATGAAACTGATCCTGGTTGAGTGAACGCTGGCGCCTGGCTGCTGAAGGGTAGGCTAGCCGGTCCCTCACCGAGCCTGCTGGATCCATTTAGTGGCTGGTCTGTACTGTCACGGCTAAGGGGAGAAAATAAATGAGGATCCAAGCGCAGATGTGAAGGTGGTTTATTGTAGAATAAAGCACAAGGTGAAAAATGGCAAAATGGAACAAAAACTAATCTATACTGGGTCAAACTAAACTACTAAACAGCAAAGACGAGGATGAGGCGTAAGAAGGTGGACAGAAAACACACGAAGAATACACAGACCAGAGACTAATACAGCAGGAGATCAGACACAGGTGGGAAACACAGCTGGAAGTAATCCACAGGACGAGACAGGGGAAGCAAAACTGAGTACACTCACATGAGACACGGACCTTCACAATAAAACAGGAAACAAGAAACAATTCACAAGGAACAGTGACGTGACGCTGAACTAAACCTATAACACGAGACAGAAAACCGAAGAACTAAACCAGAATAAACTTAAACTAAATAATAATAACTATCACCAAAGCCTGAGAAGATAACCCGAAATACAAAATCAAACCAAAACATAAGAAACTCAAAATGCTGAGCCAGAACCATGACGCTCGCAACTCGGGGAGGGGCTCGCGATAATTCACCGGAAGGAGAGTTCTCCCTGTCTCTGCCCCCCCCCTCCCATTCATTTGAATACATTGCATTAGCTCCCTGGATCTACCCCCACCATCATATGTACTGTTTATCAGCTACCTGAGCCAAATGAGGAGTTTTTAAATGACTTTGCTGCTCTTCTCACTCACTTCTCT